GGTTGGACTTAGTCTGATTTCTGGGTGAACCAACATTGGCAAACCCCAGAGATTAGGGGTCCCAAGAAGTAGAGGAAAGGTCTAGATCCCTACAAAAACTACATCCCCCAGCAGTGGGATTATAGCAAAGACCCCTATTCCCATTAAGTTGTAATGGTGATTGCTTAAGCACCTTAGCTAGGGCAGCTGGGTCAGCACATTACCTGGATTCAGTGAAATGATTAAGAGAATCTGCTAACACTAGAGGCTATACTGGGCCAGCCTCATATGGAAACAAAATATAAGACTACCTGAATGGTGTGATCTGAAGGATGTCAAAATTGTACCTCTGTCCCAGAATATCTGTACCCACAGAAGGGCTTGAAGTGGTTAAAGCCTTTCAGAATAATCTATGAAAATGCAAACACCCCAAGAAAGTTCATTTTAGAACTCTGTGAGGTAGTATTGCAACAGGGATTAATTTTCCCAAAGTGAGAGCTAATCAAGGGGAAAGGCCACCTTAGTAAGCATAGGCCAAGAAATAAAATGAGATGTTTTGTTGAGTTGTACACTTGAAAACTATATGGTTTTGTTAACCAATGTCACCCCAATAAATTCAAAATAAAATAAGTAGATGGTAAATGTTGTAAAGGGAGATAAAAGGGTGTCAAATTTTGAGTCCTTCAGAGTTGTACTGGGGTTAGACCCTGTTTCTATTCCATTACCAGGTGCTCTGGATCTCAGTCATATGAGTAATAGAAATTCTTGGAAAGCTTTTCCACTTCTAAAGGAACTGGCAACTCATGCTGTCCCAGGGCTGTTTGGTGTTGATGACAATGAAAAGTTTCTATCTGTGCTAAGCACTTAATGAGTAAAACATTAGAAAGTACTGCAATACAACCATCAGAATTATCTTTAAAATTTTTCAAAAAGGCCTTGGCTGGTTGCTATTTGTCATCCCTAGAAGCCAAGGTTGTGGGTTCTATCTTCATTCAGGGCACACAAAATTGGACCTCAGTTCTTTGATACAAAAAAAAAAAAAAGATTTCAGAGCCAAGAACACAAATTATAAGAGCAAGTCTATTTAGAAAGTTACAGAGGTAATAGAAGTGAGCCAACTGGGCTGTGTAGCTTCAGGAAACAAGTTTCAGAAGCAAAAGAAGGGCCCTTGGAGCTCAGGAGAAAGAAGGGCAAAGGTAAAGCCCCTGGGGGAGAAACAGAGGAGGAACAAAAAGGAGGAGCATACTCCTGAGAGGGAGAGTCCCATCAGCATTATTTTTACTGAACATATTGCTCCTTTTTTAAAAAATAAATAGGAATTTCACAACTTAAAAAAAAAAAAAAAAGAAAGTGCTGCAAGTCTGACGCAACCATAAGAACATGTTAAACAAAGCATACACCAGGGTGGGACAGCCCCTAAGGGGTAATTGGACATTGTGCCAAGGACCTGTGAGGGTAACCTGTCCTGTTGACTTTTTTCCAGGGTGGGAAGAGGGAGCAGCAGGAGTTTGAGTTGCTTGAAGATGCAGCCCATCCAGCTTTGGGGAGAAAGACCCCAGGAGACCTAAAATGTTTCAGATTGTACATTTTCTGGAAAAAATCAAAGTATTATTCTTTCTGGAGTGTACAATGTAAAATTTCATCTTAACCTTTCCCTTCCCTTTCTCCCTATGATAACAATCAACATGTGTAACTTATTAACATAACTGAGCATAACTGTGCAGTCTTTTTAGATCTATTAATTGAACATATTTGTCTTCTCTTTTTCCCTAAAAATGTATTTGCCCACTTAACAAAACCTCATTTACTTAAAATGTTTTCATATCCATTCAAAGGCTCCATAAATTTCATTGTGTTGGGGGTGTTAGAAGAAGGATAAAGTATAGGGAAAACATGATGAGCGATTGGATGTGATTACTTTCCTATTTTTACTTGACTAATTCAGGATATCAACACTACTTTAGGCGTTTCTACAAAAAGTCAGTGTAGCTCTTTATTTCCACTCAAAAGAGACTAATTTTCCATGTTTAGGTAGTTTGTAACTTGTACTTACAAACAGTGAATTTGGTCTTTGCTCTTTTGCAGGGGGTGGGAGGGGATGTAAAAGTTCCTGTGTTTACCCATCTGATAAATATATCTATAGGCAAGGCACTGTTCAGTGCTTTAGTCCATGGATTTTTAAACACCTGTCTTGGCTGCTCCACAATCCCTTTGTTAATCATCTCATCTTCCTGGTTAGATGCCACCAGTTTGGATTCTAGAGTATTATTTGGTAAACTAAATCATCCATAACCCAGAGAAGAAGGGGAGAAAAGCCCTGAATGGTGAAAAATCAACGCTGTAGTCCATGCACTGTAGATTTTTTTTTTATTGATTAATTTTTGTTACAAATGATTCTCCTTTTTTCCTGCTCAGCCCCTACACAATTCTAACAAGTTTACCTATCTAGTTTCCCAATTCATAGGTAATTAAAAAATAACAAAGTGGGGTTACTGTGGCTACAGCTTATTATAATTCTTATTAACCTTGATTGGGTGCTACTAGCTGCTAGAAACTTCACTAAATATTTCCATGCATTATTTCACTAAATCTTTGCAACAACTCTATAAGGTTAAATATAATTAATAGCTCCATTTTACAGTTTCATAAACTGAGTTTTAGAAGGACTAAGTAATTTTCCAAATTTGTCTCTACTTACTGTAGACAGGCATACAGATAACAGTGTGACAGCATGATAGCAAAAGAGTAGATAAACTACAAAAGAAAAATAAATTACAAGGAGTTGGAAAGCATAGCAGTTTGAAGACAGGCCACTTTATACCTCTCAGTAGCTTTCAGAAGGCAACTTGGTGTTATAACACAGTCAAGGAACTGGTTTGTGTATGACTCCAAACCATTAAAAAAGCAATGAAATTATGTTCAAACTCATCTACTTAAGAATGGAGAAAGAAATATAATGCTCCCTGTAAATATTTCCCTAATTTTTTTTAATTGGTAAATATCAACTGTGTGTTTTGGATTCTCAAAGGGAAGGCTTCAGTTATCTGAAAAATTCCCATAAATAGAACATGCTATTCCCTGATGATGGTAGTATTTTTATTTGTGGTATTTTTCTAAAGAATAAAACATTAAAAGTGAGGAAGGAAAAATAACTTGATTTACAAAATATTTTAATTTCTTTTTCAAAGTCTCTTCATTCAGTTTCAGCTAGTCCATCTGTCAAATTGCTGTGGTTTGGTCATATTCTATCACCAGGGTTTATCCTATTATACAAAATAATGTGGAACTGACCATTTTTAAAAGAGACCTGGGAGCATGGCTGACTTGATCTGTGGTTTGAAGTGGCCAAAGACAATCCCTAACCCCATTTCTTACTAGGATTATAATAGCTGCCCCAGAGCCTTACCTAAACTGGCCACATGGCCCATGCCTATGGTGTGACTGTGATTTGTCATGAGAAGAGAAGGTGAGATCTTGAACAAGGTCACTGGTTCAAGTGACCAGTCCTTAGTGGATACCTGAGTGCTGCTAGAGCACCTAAGAGGCTTCAGGAAAGATGAGAGCCCTGGGCCAATTTATTCAAAAGAAGCCAAGGGCCCTGCAGGTTGGTTACAAGTACCATTCAACAAAGTTAGCCTCGTCCACAGCCTTACCCCATTATATCTTGCCTAAATCTGTCCATAGCTAAGTTTCCAAGAAAACTTTGCACGAAGGGACCCTAGGGACTGAATAGGTGGGTGGAGGAAGAAGCTGAGGGGCTGCAGGCTGCTCTTGGCGTGAGAATTAAACAAACAGCCCAGTGTGGATAGAGTGGGGGGAGGTTATATGAGACAGACATAAAAAATTAAAGTCCCAAACCACTGTGGTCATTCAGAAATGTTTGCAACTTTTCACAAGGGCAGTGGTATTACTCCCAATTTCCTGGCCAAATATTTATTAATGTAACCAAGGACCGAGTACATGAGGCTGTCTCACATCGGCACAGCATCCTACTTTCCTTGCGGCTCTAAACTGTGAGGTACTGTAAAAAAAAAAAACTCTTCCACACTCAAAATAGCTACGTTACAGAGGAGAGTTGGAACGTGTTCTGGGAGTGGGTGTGTTTGTTTGAGTTCAGTGTGTGCAGAAAAGGCAAGCCTCCACAGCAATTCACACACTTCCCTCCTCAGCGATGGGTACGCAGACAGCAGAGCTCCTGGACTGTCTCTGAATGGTAATGTACATTTATAAAGATTATTTTCTTAACTATTTTGAGCCATTTTATAAATAATATGCATGTGTCTGCTAACGCATATACACATATATATTTAGTCAACTATTGCTTATTTTCTCCTGTGGCTGGTCTTGTGCGGTTACTTATGGGGTATGATTTCTGAGGTGTCAGAAAGAGCTCCCCCCTAAATCCTACCCCAGCCACCCAAAAATATATCTTGGGTTGGCCCACCACAGAGCCTAAAATCCTCACATTGCTCAAATGAGTTAGTCATTGAAAGCAGCTGTTAAAATTCAAGTGTCACATTGGGATATTAAGCAGACATTAGAAATTAAAGACTATGCAAAACAGAAAAGAATATAGAGAAATTGCTTCTAATATAATGTTAAGTTTCAAAAGAAGAATGCAAAATGACATGCACAGTCTGGGTCAGATGCTATTTGTAAAATATCATGGGGTCAGAGCCAGCATATATAACCCAGCTCATGAATATGAGCCTATAGTAAAAGAAAGCCAGCACTGTTGGGCAGGTTTTGCTCGGATTTATTTTAAATGAGTGTTTTTCACAGTTTCTGATCCTCGGATCCTACTCTCTTCACAGTGTATCATCAGATACCTCCCTTTGCTGATCCCTGGAGGCTCCCAGTGACCTCCTGTTAATCAGTCTTGGCGGGGCCCAAAACCCCACCTCCTGGAAAACTCAAAGAGCCTGACATCTGCCTGTGAGGAGCTTTCAGAAAGACCTCACAAAAGCCCACCCAGTCTCTCTTGGCAGCAAACTGCCAAACCAAGCCCATTTCCTCAAAAAATGGTGGAGGACTTAGCAGCCTCCTATATTGCTCTGAAATTGGAGAATGAAATTCTCCAGGCCCAAGTGCAGAGGCTGATGGAAGAAAATGCTACCCTGCAGGCCCAGATCCCAGAGCTCCAGAAGCCTCAAGCAGCCAAGGAGGATGAGTCACTCCAGAAGCCCCCAGAGGCCCAGGAGACCTCCAAACCCTCAGAGCCTCTGGATCCCCCAGCAGCCTGGGACCCCCCAAGTGCCCCAGTGTTTGAGGAGCCTCGGAAGCCCAAAGAGTCCCTGGAGCTCCCATCCTGGGGGACCACAGCTGACCAGGAGCCCCAGGTGACTCTAGTGGCCCAAGAGACCCAGAAGCCCTTGACGGCCCCAGCAGCCTCAGAGCTCTTGGAACCCCCAACAACCCAGGAACCCCAGGCACTTCCAATTGTCCATGGGGTCTCAGCAACCTGTGAGTCCCAAAAGCCTCCAGGGGCTAAGGAGCTTGAGAAGCTCCCAGCGGACCTGGAGGCCCACAAGCCCCCAGAAGTCAAGGAGGCCCAAGAGCCCCCTGAAACCAAAGCTGCCCCAGGGGCCCAGGAAGCCCAGAATTCAGAGCTCCAGAATCCTGCAAATGCCCAGGATCCGCAGGAAACATCAGAATGCCAAGAGACGTCAACACACCTGGAGCCCCTGGAGCTTCAGGCTCCCCGGGAGCCCCTGGATCTTTCAGATGCCCAGGAGTTCCTAGAGCTCTCAGCACCCCAGGACTCCCTGGAGGGCCTAAGAGCTGTTGAGACATCAGCCGCTTCAGCGTTCCCACAGTCCCCCAGTGGGTTAGAGGCTGAAGCTTTCCCCTTAGAATACCCTTTAGCCTTCAACGGGAATGCCCAGAAGCTTCCTGAGTTCCTGGTTCAACTGAATAGTTACATGAGAGTCAGAGGGCACCTGTATCCCACTGAAGCAGCCTTAGTGAGCTTTGTTGGTAACCGTTTCTCAGGTGAGGCAGGAAGGTGGTTCCAGCCCCTAGTTGATATCCAAAGCCCCCTGCTGGAGCAATTTGAGAGTTTCATACAAGTGCTCCAGGATACTTTTGACAATCCAGAAAATGTGGAAGATGCCAACCACCGCATCCGCCAGCTTTGTCAAGGGGAGGACCCTGTCCACCTGTATGCAACCCACTTTCACCTCATTGCTCAAGAGCTAAACTGGGATGAAAGTACTCTTTGCATGCAATTCCAGGAAGGGCTTGCTAGTTCTATCCGAGATGAACTGTCTCACACAAGCCCAGCCACCAATTTATCCGATCTGATCACTCAGTGCCTCAGCCTAGAAGAGAAACTAAGTGGTAAGCCTGATCCAAATCCACAAGGGGCAAGTCCCTCAGAGAAGAGAGCTGAGCCTGTGAGTCCACCAGCTGAAAACCGGCCTGTGCAGGCTGCAAGCAATCGCCCTCACCTCAGTGAAGCTGAACGGGCCCGCCGCCTTGAAGGCCACTTATGCCTCTACTGTGCTCATCCCGGTCATTTTGCCAGAGATTGCCCTGTCAAGCCTCATCGTGCTCAGCAGGCGGGAAACATCCAGGCCCGGCGGTAAGGGGGAACCCGAGCGGGCCAATCTACAAATATGCATCCCCCTCACTTCCAATATCCATGTCCCGTACCCTATGGCTTACTGTTGAAATTCGACTGGGAAGACGACAGTTTTTTGAGCAAGCAATGGTGGATTCAGGCTCCTACAGAAACAGCATTGACCGTTCTGTGGTTCTTCGAGAGAAGCTGCCCATTCGCAATAACATCTTCCCTCTGATGCTTGAGACAGTAGATGGCCGTCCACTGATCAATGGACCCATAACTAAGGAAACACCACCTGTTGAAGTTAAAATTGGGAACCATGTCGAAGAGCTCCAGTTTGATATTATTCATGCACCACGATACCCTCTAATTCTTGGAATCCACTGGCTTGAAACCCATGACCCAAACATAGAGTGGAGTACCCGCACTGTGTCCTTTCCATCTCGGTATTGTCACTACAATTGTTTCAGGCACAGGTGGAATAGAAGACGTCGTGATGAAATAATTGCTGGGTAGATCCTGTGTCCTAGTGACCACTCCTAGCAACCTGTCTTCTGTTACCTCAGCTGTCATCAGCATTTGCTGCTTCCAGAAACTTCCACTGAATCTCTGGCAATGAACAAAGGCTACCTGTACAACGACCCTGCCTCTTGGATTATGGACTGAACCTGACGACTTTGAGCTTCTTTTTTCACCAACTCTGCATGCCCCTTTCTTTGAACCCTGCATTACTGTGGGGCTGTTTTAATTACAGTTTATACTAATAATATGCATGAGAATAGCTATTAGAAACTAACATTGAAAAAGTGTAGTTAGTAGACTGACTTGATTTTTTTTCTTATCAAGATTTTTCTCTATCACAATTGCAGTATGTTTTCAATAAAAAATACATTTGCAAGTGATATTTTTAAAAAATCAATAAACCTTGGCAATTTCTACTGGTGTTTGAATTATTTCTTGGCTTAGCTGAAGAAAGACAATAAGGGATAAGTAAGTTGGGAGGAAGACAGGGGATTGGAAAAGGCTAAATTTTTGGTGGGGTCCTAAATATTACAGGGGTAGTGACAGGATAGTGGGTGATGGGGTAGGGGGAGATGGAGAAAGTAGGGGAAGAGTTGGGGCAGAGGCAGATCAGGTGAGGTATGGAGGGGTTGGGGACTATAAGGGATTGGGGGAAATTGGCAGGAGATTGGAAAGGGTTCAGAGGAGGGCTGGGGGTTCTGAGGGCAAAGGTGAAGGGAGGGGAAAATTTCTACAATAATAAAGGGAGCACTAACAGAGACATAGAGCAGCTTTGAAAGCAAACTTCTTGGACTTTATAAATTAACCAAAGAAAGACACTGCAGAGGGTAATGAGACCACTCAGTGACCCAGCTTTCTCATAAAGTGACAGTGTCTTATTCTTTGCACCTGGAAAATTTGTCCTAGACCTTATGCCCATTAATCTGCTCTTGCCAGTGCACAGAAGTTGGATGGCAGGAATCGGCTTTCAACATGTGCAGATTAGTAGTCAACTGTACCTTTCCTACATGTACAGGTTACCATACTGCTTGCATGACACACAGTAAAAGCCAAGGACAGGAACTCATGTCATTATGGACTTGAAAGGAGATAGTGTAGTGTCCTGACTTAAATCACACACACACACACACACACACACACTCACACTCACACACACACACACACACACACACACACACACACACACTACAGAGCAGGGGAGGTGAAGGGGCTGGAATCTCCAGGTGAGATATGAGAACTGATCAAAGCAGACGCTAATGCATTTCCTCTGTGCAACTCTCCTTTAAGAGTCTCTTTGTGAAGCCACTTGAAGGAGATTAGAAAATAATAAAACACATGACCATTACCCTAGAAGGAGATAGGTGAGGAACTTAAACTTCACTGAGGCACTAATATTTTCCAGCTACAATGTTACACATTACTTTTCTCATTATTCCTCAAAAAAAACTCAGTGAAGTAGGTATGTTTGCTCCTATTTTAGCAATGAGCAAACAGAATCCAAACAAGGGTAGTTCACTTGCCCAAAGCCTCAGAGCTAAGAAGCAGTGGAGACCTATGTACCCTTACCCCTACATCATATCATGCCAGTGTCCCTAATGCCATGGAGAGGGTTAAACAAGATTGTGGCAGCAGATATATAACCCTAAAAAGGAGGGAAAACTCAAAAGACAAATTGTAGGGACTATTTGGGTTATAATTCTGTTTCCCCAGTTCCCTTGATCTCAACCCCAACCTCCTCATTGCCTCACTCAACCCCAAACTTACCTTTTTATCTCTTGGAGTATTTCCTTTTGTTTAATTAATGGCCTGGCCCCCCTTTCATATTCCATGGAATTTTTTTCATGTAAGGTGGAAGTTCATTAATAGTCAGTTATCTGTAGGATCTGTGCATTATTATCTAGCAGCATGTGCATCACCCCTGGGATTGTCTACCTAGCCTCTTCAATAACCGATCCACTATGCTGTACACATGTAACTAATATAAAATAATGATGAGTATAATCTGTAATTGAAAAAATATAAAAAATAAAAATAAACATTAAAAAATAACCAATGCAAATCCTATATAGCCTTAAATAGTTCTACCTCTTCTAGTCTTCATTGGCCTCTCTTCCTTCCCTGAACAATCTAACATATTTTGCCATTACACACCACCTTGTGGTATGTAGGTAACTTTCCCTAAGTAGATGTCCTACATTCTCCCTACCCCACCCCCACACACAAATACTTAGCCTGGGTGAAGAGAGAGAACTTTCTACATCTCTACCCTTGACAACATAGCCTAACAAAGTGTCTGTTACATAAAAGTTCTCCACAGCAACTGATTCAATGACAGTGAATTATCATTACCCAGAGAAGGGTGCTTATTTGTATATTATGGGCTCTTCTTCTTTTTCTCCTATTCAATTGCTCATCTTTACCCTCAAGACCAAGCACTATTTGTCAGTGTGAAATTCAAGAGAACAAAGCTTTCAGCAGTACAAAGAAAAAATACATTATATTTGTCAAAATACTTGGAGCTAGGAAGACCAACTGTGTTGATTTCCCCTGGACTGAAAAGATTCATGGTACACAGGACTTCCTGTATAAACACTGAGTCAATTCTAGGAAAACTGGGATGGTGGTCAACCTATCTGGACCCTATATTTTGCTACCTGGCTATAGAGACTTATTTAACTATAGTACAAGTCTTTATTTCACAAAAAGGATTAATTATCTCATCATAGAGTCACAGAATTTGTGAGTTTTAAACTACTCAAGAAGTCTATTCCTTTAATTCCATAAATGAAGGAGCTGAGGGGGCCCAGAAAACGGAAAGCAACTTAATGTAGTGTTATGCGGATCTCCTAACTCTAAATCCAGTGCTCTTTTCAACATAAGCCACACTTCTAATCTGGTAATTACAAATCAAGTATGTGGCCAGCAATAAGCTAGAAAATACGGACAGTGCCTATAATATGATATGAGACGATTACAATGTGTTCCAAGAGAAAAATTAGCAGGCATTAGACAACTAGCATAGATAATTAAATATGTGGTAGTAACAAATACACCAAACTGAAACACTGTACGAGCTGATAAAACTAACAGTGATAACTACCATTTAATGAGCACCTAGGTTTTGCCAAATACTGAGCTAGGTGATTCAGGTCTTTTCAACTGACTGCCAGGTATATATTATTAGCCCCATCTTATAAATCAAAGAAGTGAAGCCCACTGAGGTGAGGTCATTTGCCAGAGGTCACACTGCTAGGAATTAGTGAATGCTAAAAATAAAACCTGATCTGTCTCATTCCAAAGTTGTAGTTCAATCTACTGATTATCAGGCTGAATGTCCTTGACTCTTTAACTACTTTAATGATATTTATTCACAGGACATGAGTTCTATTGCCTTAGATAAATACATTAATCTGGTAGTGCATTCATTTTTATTCATTCAACAAACCTTTACTGAATGTCTTCCATGTGTCAGGTACAGGCACAGGGGGAAGAAAAAGAAAAGGGAGACAGGGAGGTACAAAGATATCTAAAGTATGACTCACGGTCCTTGCTGTCACCACAATGTAATGAGAGAAGCTATTGTATATCACAGTACTGTAACACAGACGAGAAAGCACTAATTCTGCTATGGACTGAAAACGTGTGTTTTGAGCTGGGTCTTGAAAGAGTTTCAATGGAAAGAAGAGGGAGGGGAGAGTTTTACAAACTGAGTAAAGTGTACACAGAAAATAAGTTGGAGGGGAAAATCATGGTGTCTTTAGAAAAGATAATTCTGTTTCACTGGAGAGTAGGAGTGTATGTGCATGCGTGTGTAGGGTAGAGGGATGTAAGTGAGAAGATGAAGCTTAAGAAGGAAGTTGGGCCTTGGCTGGTTTGGCTCAGCAGTTGGAAGGTCGATCCATGGACCAAAGAGTCCTGGGCTCGAATTCACCCAGGGGCGCATGCCTCGGTTGCGGTTAGTCCCTGGCCCCAACTGAGGTCATGCGGGTGGCAACCAGTCGATGTGTCTCACATTGAAGTTTCTCTTTCTCTCTCTCTCTCTCTCTCTCTCTCTCTCTCTCTCTCTCTTTCTCTCTTTCCCTCCCACTCTGTCTGAAGATAAGTGTAAAAAAAAAGAAGAAGAAGGAAGTTGGAAGTCTCAGATTTAAGACCTTATCTACCAGGCTAAGATGTTCAACCTTTATCCTGTGGGAAATTTAGATTGGACTCTTTGACTTTTTTTTTCCTGTTTTTGATATTTGGATGTGTATTTTCTCTCTTGCTACAAAATAACACACACTCACTGCAACAAACACATATATATCAGAAGTTTATAACATAAAAATAAAAGGTTTTCCCTTCCTTTCTACCCCTTATTTCACAAAGTAGGAGATTTTAAGTAGGAAAGAAACATGATTAGTTTATATTTTACAAATTTTGATAGTAATGTGGAAATTGATGAGAGAAAGCCACAGAGTACCCTCATATATTTTTTTACCTTCTTAGGTTTTATGAAGATGA